GAGCAGCGGTGGTGGGGCAGCAAGTAGCAGGGGAACAGACGATCTGAACCCAGCCACTTGCCCACCCTGAACCTCGCTGCTCCCTGGCTCTGTGCTGGGTCCCTCACTGCTTCCTGGGTTTTCTTGGGACCCATTTTTCCTGAGTAAATATGGTCATTCAGTAAAAACTAAAGGGAGCTGTCTATGATTTTTTTTTTTTAAAGAAGTTTGAGGTTTAACAGGATTGTATCTCTGTGACTTCTGTTCTATTGATGACTATCTCTCCCCTCCCTCTTTTTCCACCCCCATCTTCCCCCTCCCCCACAGATCTACCATGGTGGCTGCTTTTAATTCGGCAGAAAGCATTGATTGGCAAACTCCCAGGAGGCCATGAAGTGTGCAAAATAACCAAGATTGCAGTGATTCCACTCTCTGAAACAGAGCCTCAGGATCTGGAGCTGGAGGTATCATTTTAAAATTGTGACTTCTATTTTAAAAGCCCAGCAATTTAGGGGAAAAAAAGTGCCTTGTCTGCACAGGGAGGGTTAAATATGAAATGTGTGCGCATATCCAATCAGCAGATATGCTCACACCACCTTCTGGTCACAGGACCCATTTTTCCCAAGTCATCTACTAATATATCTGCTTGCAGACATGTACATAAAGACCATTTTGTTGTTGCCTTTGTCTTTGTTACCCTTTCTCACTCAAGTAGAAGGGCATTTCATTTAAATGGAAAAGCACTAGGACAAATAGCCACTCCCAGCCAGAGCTATTTTTTTTAGGTGGACTTTTAACAAAGCAGAAAATAATTTTGCAAGGAACTTACTGCTGAGTCTCCTGATAAATGTAAGACAGATGAGGTGGGATAGGAACCTTGTAAGAAGGAAATGTCTCTAACTTGCCCTTTTAGGAGATAGGAGAGCCCCTTCCAGGGCTGTATGTGTGTTGGTACTGTTGAAAGTGTGCTATTTTACCCTCTTAGTTTGAGCATTGCTTGGCCTGAGTAGGAGGCAGCAGGCTTCTGCATAGGTGCCCTGGGACTAATTTTGTAACGTGCCTCCTATAAGAGTCTTGTGTGGCCTTAAAGGGGCTTCTGTTGCTATGACTACTCTACTCGAGAACTTTCCTAAAGGAGAGGGGAAAACATACAAACTTGATAAAACCCAGAGGCAGTACTGGCTTGCATCCTGGCCAAGGAATAAAAGAGTGCAAAGGACTGGAGGCTCGCTAGTCTCCGTATGCCCTGTTGAGGAAGCTTGCAGAGTGAACGCACGAGGCTTGTGATGCTTCGAGGAAGGACACAGTTTGCCACAGATAAAGAAGTCACCAGTTTCTCTCAGTAAAACAGGGAGCATGCAGTCCATGATTTATGATAATCAGGAGTTTCATTAGAAGATGAATTATCATTTTGTGTGCGAGAGAGAGAGATTTGTTTTGTGGCTTTCAGTAAAATATCTTTCTGGTATACTGTAATACAGTACAATACATTCAGTATCTTTGAGACATTTGTTTATCCAGCATGCGTTGGTTGAAGACCTGTTGGGACATGGGTTTTTAAGCTTTTTAATAAGTGTACCCCTGGCAGCTGGACACAAGGCGGGGGAAGGGGGCAGTGGTGCACGGCCAGGTGCGGAGCAGCGGCACAGTGGGGTGGTGGGTGGCAGCGGCAGCTGCCTCGTGCGAGCTCCCCCCATGTCCAGCTGGCTGGGCAGCGCCTGTGTGGCCTGTAGAAGGGTGCTGCTGCCCCTGCCTCCCCCCCCAAGCCCTGCTCCTGGCAACAAGCCAAGTACACCCTGCCCTTGGGGTCATGGGCTGAGACCCTGGCTGCCTACCTGCTTCATCCGCCATGCCCCTGGTGGTGGATGCAGGGTGGACAGGCTGGGGCTGGCAGTGGCAGCTGGGCAGAGTTGAGCCTCTGCTGTGGGGGGCTGCTAGGAAGCTGAGTCTGGCAGCTGTGCTGCTCCCACCCCGGCACACACCTACAGGTGGGCAGGGCTGGCCGCATGAGCCACAGCCTGGGCTGCCCCCTCTGTACCTGGGCTGGGCAGGGTGAGGGTCCTGCCACGGGCTGGGTAGAAACTCTTGGCAGGTTGAATCCCTACCCAGGGCTGTATTTTGCGCCCCCCCCCCCCC